ACTTGCAATGAAGAAATTGCAAGAAGAAATGCCTTCATTTGAGATTTTTCCTTACACAAATCCTGATTTGGAAACACCTATATCACCATTGCGTGTTAGTAAGGAAATTGTCACTGAATTTGTTTCTCAAAAAGTACCTGATATAAGTGAAGGTTTGGGTGTTGTTGATCCTGATTTAGTTGTTCGGGAAGTGTTGAATTCAACTAATCAGCAAGAGAATGATGATAATGTTTATGAGGTTATTGAAATTGAAAATGAACATGACAATGTTGCTTGTGGTCTTACTGTTTCATTTACTGCTCCTGCATCTTCCTTGGCACAAGCTCCCGCTATTGGTAAGCCTTCTTTTGCATCTGGTGGTGATGTTCTTGAAATTGCACCCGGTGTTTCTCAGCCTTCCTTGGCACCTACTGTTTCTCAGCCTTCTTTGGCACCTACTGTTTCTTTTCCTTTCTCAGCACCTGTACCTTCTATTTCTGCTGGTGGTGTTCGTGAGGTTTCACGTACTGTTTTGTTGCCTTCCTCAGTACCTTTCTTCGCACTTGTAAGTTCGGTTTCTGCCGGTGGTGTTTGTGAGGTTGCACCTACTACTTCTGCGCCTGTAGGTGTTGTTTCAAAGGATAAACCTGAAAACCAAGAAGTAAGTTCTTTTGGTAAACCGAAGGGGAGGTTGAGGAAAGCTCCTACTCAGAAGGAACCTACAACCAAAACTCCTGAGGAAGGTGCTAGGAAGAAGGCAAGAAAACCAAGGAAGGAAGTGATTACTGCTAGTATTGCTGGTCACACACCAGAGGAATCATTAGAGATATTGAAACAGATTCATGCTGGTGATGATGGTGAGGAGTCTTCTGATAATAGTGGATCTTCTAGTAGTTCTGCAGAGCAATTAATTTGTAATATTTACTCTGGTACTGCTGGTGGTTATAAATTACAGTTATTATAAAGGTTTTTAAGGGTTAAGAACCCAAAAGTTAAGAAGATGAAGAGTATTAGACTTGCTGTTGCTGATTATTGTTTTGTTGAAAACTATGATGGTGTTGACAATATGTAAGTGCTTTATTGCTCTTTGATTTATTATTTATTATAAGTTACTAATAAGTGTTATATGTTTTACTTATTAAAGTTTATATGGTTTACTTATAATTATTTTTAGGATTACTTATACAGTTTATTTTTGTTATTCATTAAAGTTTAAGTTGTTACTTTATAAGGCTTATACAGATTACTTATAAGAATAATAAGGATTACTTATAATTGTTATAGGTGTTACTTATTAAGTTTTATATGTGTTACTTAATATAAAAATACCAGTTACTTAATTGTTGTTAAGGGATTACTCAAACATATTCGATGGATTACTTAATACCAATTAGTTTATGGTTTACTTTATGATATTATAGAAATTACTTAATAATATAATAGGGGTTACTTATAAGAGTTTATTGTTTACTTATAAAGTTTAAAGGAATTACTTATAAAGTTTAAGGAATTACTTATAAAGTTTAAAGGGGATACTTATAAACTTTAAAGTTGATATTTATTAGTTAGAGTTTAAGGGTTTACTTATAAAGTTTAAAGGGATTACTTACAAAGTTAAAAGTGGTTACTTCTTAATTAGATTTTAAAGGTTTACTTTAAAAGTTTAAAGAGAATTTTTTATAAAGTTTAGGGGATTACTTATTTAATTTAAAGGGGATATTTATAAACTTTAAAGTTTTTACTTATTAGTTTGAGAAGGGTTACTTAATAAATGATGTAGGTGTTACTCTTAAGTTTAATAAAGATACTTATTAGTGTTATAGGTTGTTACTTTTTAAGTATTATAAACATTACTTATAAGTGTTATAGGTGTTACTTATTAAATTTTTGTCTGTTACTTAATATAAAAATACCAGTTACTTCATTGTTGTTAAGTGATTACTTAAAGATATTCAATGCATTACTTAATACCAGTTATTTTATGGATTACGTATTCATACTATAGTGATTACTCATGTAAGCCTATTTTTTACTAATTCTATTTTTTTGAAACAGGGAAACTTTAGTTTTTTTTTCTGAATTTTATAATCTGCCTCGTGAAGAACTGATGTCATTGGTTGGTGAAGAGTTTATTTCAAGCCGTGTTATGGACTGTTTTTTTATTTTGCTGAATTACTTGGAGGTGCAAAGAAATGATGATGGTATCAAGGTTTATTTTGGTGAAGAATTTTTGGTAATTGACTTATGATCTTTGTTTATTTTATGTTATTTAATATTTGTTTTTCTTATTTCAATGGTTTTATTTTGTTAGTATCCTTTATTGCGTTTTATATATACTGGAGAAGGAAGTGCTGATGAATTAGAAGTTTTTGGGGCTTGGAATCATTGGCTTCAATCTGTTCAAACAATGGATTTTCTAGATGCTTTGCTGGTAATTATCATTGGCTTGATAAATTTACTTTATGTAGATTTTCTATGCAATTTTTAATAGTTATGGAAATTGATTTTGTATATATATATTTTTTTATACAGATTTTCATTCCAATTTACTATGGGAATCACTATTCTGTTGTTGTGATAAATTTTTATACCAACACTATTGATTATTTGGACAACAGAAGGTATTATATTGGTGTTGGAAGGAATTGCACTAAGACTTTTGATGCTCATCATACATATTATTATACAATCACTTGGCACTTGGTATGTATTTTTATTTAGTATTTAGTTAAATTTAATGTGTACTTTTATTTTGTTGTTCTGATATTTTTTTTTCAATAATTCACAGAGACTTCTAATGTCAAAATACCTGGTTAGAAAGAACCATGATCAAGGTCAGCAAGTTGCTGAATTTGAAATTCGAATGCTACAACTTGATTCTCAAGCTTGTCCAAAGAATACAGATTGTGGGGTTTTCTGTCTGTATCATTGTATATCATATGAAGGGGAAGATTTTTATTGTAAAAACTTAACAAAGGTAATTTTTTATGATCCTAGTTTTTTGTTTACTTATATTTTTATTTATAACTAATTTATGACTTTGATTTGTTTTGTATTTTTAGGCACTTGAACGACGTCAATATCATGCTGAAATATGTGCTTCACTGGTTTTGTGCAACTTGAACCAATTAAGGGATGAGATTCTTAATAAGGTTCAGAATTTTGCTGATAATAACAAGGAATTATATGAAGAAGTTATGATTAATGATGAGATTGATCGTCAAGAAAAAGCTTCTATTGCAGAAAAAGAAGCTAAAAAAAGGGCAGAATTGAAGGCAGAAGAAGAGTCATTTAAAGAGGGTAAACAAAAGAACAAAAACTAGTACCAAGCTTCTAAAAAATCTACCACTAGCAGAAAGTAAGAATTAGTTTTACATTATGTCAATATTGCTATATTGAACATAGTTTATGTTTTTTTTTATTTAAGAACAAAGATTCTATATGGTTATTTGAACAAAGTTTTTGTTTTTTTTATATATAGTTGATTATTTTGCTTTTACAATTTTTGAGTCATATTGTTAACAAATAATAGGTGTTACTGATTTAGCATTACAATTATTACTTATTTATATTATATTGGTTGATTATGTAAGTCTATTTGTTACTTATAAGAGTTTATTGTTTACGTATAAAATTTAAAGGAATTACATATAAAGTTTAAGAGACTGTGTAAAGTTTAAAAAGGATACTTTTAAGCTTTAAAGTGGTTACTTATTAGTTAGAGTTTAAGGGTTTACTTATAAAGTTTAAAGGGATTACTTGTAAAGTTATATGGATTACTTGTAAAGTTTAAATGGGATACTTATAAACTTTAAAGTGGTTATTTATTAATTAGAGTTTAAGGGTTTACTTACAAAGTTTAAAGGGATTTTTTTATAAAGTTAAAGGGATTACTTATTTAGTTTAAAGGGGATACTTATAAACTTTAAAGTTGTTACTTATTAGTTTTAGAGGGATTACTTAATAAATGATGTAGGTATTACTCTTAAGTTTAATACAGATTACTTATTAGTGTTATAGGTGTTACTTATAAGTGTTACTTGTAAGTCTATTTGTTACTTATACGAGTTTATTATTTACTTATAAAATTTAAAGGAATTACTTATAAAGTTTAAGAGATTACTTGTAAAGTTTAAAAAGGATACTTTTAAACTTTAAAGTGGTTACTTATTAGTTAGAGTTTTAGGGTTTACTTATAAAGTTTAAATGGATTACTTGTAAAGTTATATGGATTACTTGTAAAGTTTAAATGGGATACTTATAAACTTTAAAGTGGTTATTTATTAATTAGAGTTTAAGGGTTTACTTACAAAGTTTAAAGGGATTTTTTTATAAAGCTAAAGGGATTACTTATTTAGTTTAAAGGGGATACTTATAAACTTTAAAGTTGTTACTTATTAGTTTTAGAGGGATTACTTAATAAATGATGTAGGTTTTACTCTTAAGTTTAATACAAATTACTTATTAGTGTTATAGGTGTTACTTATAAGTGTTTCAAGTGTTAATTATTATTAAGGTTAATCATTATTAAGGCTTATGAAGTTTTATATGTGTTACTTAATATAAAAATATCAGTTACTTAATTGTTGTTAAAGGATTACTTAAATATATTAAATGGATTACTTAATACCAGTTACTTTATGGATTACTTATTCAGATTATAGTGATTATTCATGTAAGCCTATTTGTTACTTATCCTATTTTTTATGTGTTAAGAGTTATAGGATTTACTTATAAAGTGTAAAGGGTTTACTTACAGGAATTACTTAAAGAGTTTAAAGGTTAACTTTATGTTAATATAGCAATTACTTAATATTATAATGAGGTTACTTTTTAGCATTAGAAGCATTACTTTATATTTTCGTATGGTTCTTAAAAGAATTTGAGTGTATACTTAATAATATGGATTACTTAATATTATATCATAATAAAGTAAGGTATGATATTTAAATATAGAAACATAGTTTATAATAAGGTCTGAAATTTAAATATAGAAACATAAATATCTTATCATAAAGAATTTAAAATAACTTTGGATTTTGTATTGGAGTGATTGTTCCAAATTCTCTTGTATCTCCCTTTGCTGTCATTGCTTTTGTTTTTTTCTTGTTTCCTTGCTTTCCTTTCTCAAAATGTCCTTTTATTCTCTTGCTTCTTCCCTTGGTGTTTGCTCTTTCTGGATCCATAACAGTAGGAATTTGTTCTTCTGTTTCTGCTGTTGCAGTAGTGTTGTTTTGCTGCATTGATTCTGCTTCTTGACTTGCTGCATCTTGTTCTTCCTGCAATAAAACAATGATTATTTTTGGTGCATTGGTATGTTTAATTAATAGTACTTGTTTACCTTTTCCAATCTGTTTCTTATTTCATCTGCTAGTATATCAAGTTTTTTAAACTCTGACTCTATCAAATTTTGGTCTCTGAGTGTTGTTGGCATTTCAAAATCAGATTGTAGCCTTTTCTTGCCATAATTTGTCTCCATGGAATGTATTTTATGGGAATTCTTTCATTTGCTGATTCTTCATCCCTTCTTCTCCATACATGTGCCTTTGCATATTTTGTCCACCTCATTATGATATATCTGTCTGATATTTTGGTGACTGAATGCTGTTGTAACACCCGGATACAGTGATAGCATAACCACCCAACTTCTTCAAAAATTTTGCATGAACAAGCTATATCGTTGTCTGCCATGTTGAATGTAACTTTTTGCTTTGAAGCTTCATTATTCTCTAATTTCACTTCATAAAAGAAGTAACCTTGAGTTTGATAATGAAGATTTGTTACGCATCCAATTGAAAATTCAAATTCTGTTTCAAAATATCTGAATATGGTTTGTGTGTAGACCTCTGCTGCATGCTTTATCATTCCATAGAACGGTAAATTTGAAGTTGGTTTAGAATTGGAACATTTGAAATCTGCATCAGATTCATTGTTCCTCCACCTAGTCACTGTTTGTTTAAATATCTTGAAAAAATCAGTCAAGCTTGTGTTCTTGTTTGCCTTGAAACCTACAACATTATTTGCACTTTCACTTCTTTGAGAAGAGAGTATTCCTGCTGAAAAAAAGTCTTTACTGAGAGCAGTGCACCATTTTTCTTTCAAGCTGTATAATATTTTGAACCATCTGTTATTTTCTAGCTTGTAAGTAGTTATCATGTTTGTCCAACAATGCTCAAACTCTTCTTCTGTTACACAACCTGTTAGACACTTATTAAAAGCATCTTTAAAAGTTGTGTCTCTTTTTAGTGCTCCAAATCTTGACACTGCATTCTTAATTAGATGCCATATGCAAAGTCTGTGTCTTGAGTGTGGGAAAACCTGCATTGAATATATTGTTATTTTTTTTAAAAAATTTATATTCCTTATGCAAAGTCTGTTATTTTGAGTGTTACTTATTGTTTTTAATAGTGTTACTCATTCCATTATAAAGTTAACTTAACAGTTTAATAGAGTTACTTATTGCATAATAAGGATTACTTATTGCCCTATAAAGGATTACTTCTTGAACTAGAAAGGTTACTTATTGCATTATACTGATTACTTTTTTATTGTAATAAAGTTACTTATTGCTCTATAAGGTTATTTATTAAATTTAATAAGATTTTACACTGAATACTATGGCGTTACTTATATATTCTGACATATGTGTTACTTAAGTTGTATAATAGGGGTTACTTTTGTATTTTAATGTAGTTACTTATTTGCAAAATATATATATTAACAACTAATTAATATTTTGAGGGGGTTTACTTAATAGTATTATATGGATTACTTAATAGTATATAACTAATTACTTAATAGTATAACAGGTTTTAATTAATAGTATTATAATAGCAATTACTTAATGCCTAATAGCATTTACTGAATAATATGAAAAGTGTTACTTTATATAAAAAAACAGGGAAAATGTAAATTTACCTTTTGAATTGCAACTGACTTGGCCAAGTCTTGGTCGGTAAAAATTGAGGCTGGCTCACTTCCACCAACTGATTTCTTAAAAGTAGATAATACCCACTCAAATGTTTCTATTTTCTCATCAGCAATAAATGCACAACCAAACATTACATTTTGCCAATGACTGTTGACACCCACAATTGGCGCACAAATAAGATTATATTTGTTCGTCCTATATGTGGTGTCGAAAATAGTAACATCTCCATAAATATCAAAATCTTCTTTCATTTCTGAGTCCCTCCAGAAAATTGCAGTAAGTCTATTTGTTTTTTCTCCTATCTTGAATCTGAAAAAGAAATCTGGTTCCTCTGATTGTCTTTGATTTAATATGTCTATGACAGTTTGTGCATCACCTCCTTCGATCTCCATCATTTTCTTTCTTGTTATGTAATTAAAATGATCTTTCATTGTGTGTGCTAATACATTTTCACCACCAGCTTCATAAGCCATTAAACGATAAGATTCTGCTGGTCTTAGTCCACTTTCAGCCATTATATCTATAACTTTTTCCTTATCTTATGTTATTTTTCTCTCTGATCTTTGTAAATGCTGCCATTCTCTTCTTGTCAGTTCATGATTGTGTTGCATGACATGTTCTTCTACTTCAAACATACCTTCTTTATTCTTTTTTGCTCTGATGAATGCTTTGCAACCAGTTCTGGTGATTGGAACTTGCCTTTTCTTCTTCTGTTTTTGTCCAGGAATAGGAGTAGGAGTTTTATGGTTCTTTGGTTTTACTCTGAAACCTTTTTTTGAACAAACAAAATCTTTTCCTCTTACTTTTTTAGGTTCTGTTTGTGTGTATCTTGTTGTTGATTGTCTTACACCAAATCCAAACACAAAAGCATGTTTTTTATATTCTTCAAAAATTTCTTCTAAAGTTGCAGCAGTAAATCCAACAAGGCTCCCTGTATCATCTATTTCATGTTGTTCTGCATATCTGGCATCATCTGTTAAGGTGCTTCCACTTAAATCTGTAAAAACAAATTAATTATTGTATTATACGGGTTACCCTTAAAGTGTAACTGTGTTACTTATTATGCAATATAAATTATTTATTGCGCAATAGGGATTACTAATTGTTTAACAGGAACTAGTTATTGCATTATAGTGATTACTTTTCCACTGTGATTGGGTTACTTATTATATAACAGGGATTATTTTTTTGCATTATAGTGATTACTTTTCTAATTTAGAAGGGTTACTTATTTTGTGATATGAGTTACTTATTGTTTTTTAGGGGCTTCACACTGTAATAGGGTTACTTATTGCATTATAGAGGTTACCCTTAAAGTGTAACAGGGTTACTTATTGTGCAATAGGAATTACTTAATGCGCAATAGGGAAAACTAATTGTTTAACAGTGTTTACTTATTGCATTATAGTGATTACTTTTCCACTGTGATAGGGTTACTTATTATATAGCATGGATTATTTTTTGCATTATAGTGATTAAATTTCTAATTTAGAAGGGTTACTTATTAAGTGATATGAGTTACTTGTTGCATTATAGGGTTTACTTTCATACTGTAATAAGGCTACTTATTGCATTATAGGGTTTACATCTGCATTATAGGGGTTTACCTTCACATTGTAATACCTCTCTACTTTAAAAGGGTTACTTATTGTGTGATAGGGGTTACTTATTGTTTTTTTAGGGTTTACACTATAATAGGGTTACTAATTATATAACAGGGATAGTGATTACTTTTCTAATTTAGAAGGTTTACTTATTTTGTGATATGAGTTACTTATTGTTTTTTAGGGGCCTCACACTGTAATAGGGTTACTTATTGCATTATAGGGGTTACCCTTAAAGTGTAACAGGGTTACTTATTGTGCAATAGGAATTACTTATTGCGCAATAGGAATTACTAATTGTTTAACAGGGTTTACTTATTGCATTATAGTGATTACTTTTCCACTGTGATAGGGTTACTTATTATATAGCATGGATTATTTTTTGCATTATAGTGATTAAATTTCTAATTTATAAGGGTTACTTATTGAGTGATATGAGTTACTTGTTGCATTATAGGGTTTACTTTCATACTGTAATAAGGTTACTTATTGCATTATAGGGTTTACCTATTGCATTATAGGGGTTACCTTCACATTGTAATACCTCTCTACTTTAAAAGGGTTACTTATTGTTTTTTAGGGGCTTTACACTGTAATAGGGTTACTTATTGCATTATAGTGGTTACCCTTGAAGTGAAACCGGGTTACTTATTGTGTATTAGGAATTACTTATTGCGCAATAGGGATTACTAAATGTTTAACAAGATTTACTTATTTCATTATAGGGGTTACCCTTAAAGTGTAATAGGGATTACTTATTGCGCAATAGGGATTATTAATTGTTTAACAGGATTTACTTATTCCGTAATAGTGATTACTTTTCTACTGTGATAGGGTTACTTATTATATAGCAGGTTACTTATTATATACAGTAATAGTGTTACTTATTGCGTAATATTGGTTACTTACTGTATAATAAGGATTACCAGTATAACATTTTAGGGATAACCATTAATAAAATTTGAGTAAGTTTTATTTATTTATTACCTTGCACACATTGTATTTCATCATTTTTTGGATTTTTTTTTTATCTCTTCAATCTCCAGATTCAAAAATGAATCACCTATTTCTTCGATTTCCATTGATTCTTGTGATTCTGCTAAGTTTTGTAATTCGTCAATCATTGTAGCTGGTAATTTTTTTTTCGCGATTATGAGAAGAATTTGGTGAAATCGAGAAGTTAAGGTTGCGGCTCTAGGGATTTGTGTGAATGTCTGCGCTTTTAAGAAGAAATGACACGCGCGTGGAGATCAGCGTGTTTTTTTGGATTCCGTTATTTTTGGCAATTTGATGACGCGCGCGTGGAAGCTCCGTTATTTTGCTGAGCTGGACGCTGGCCACACGGTGTGGCCAGCTGCACTGAAGAGGCGCTGCAGTTACAATTATTTTGACATACATCTTTAATTATTGTCAACGTGATACATATAAGCTTTTTTTTTTTTGTAACAGATACATATAATTCCTTTTTTTTTAAAACGGATACATATAATCCTTTGTTCTCAGTTAATTAACCGTCACTGTGTCACCTTTATAATTAAACTAGTAACCGTCACGGTATCTATTAAATTCAAACCTAATGAAATAAAATGATGAAAGTTATATAGGAAAGATGAACGGAGCCAGTAAAAGCTTACATAGTATGCTCTTGCTCTTGTTCTTTCAAAAAAAAAGTTAAAGAGGAGCAAGCTAAGAATGAACTTTCAAGTAAAAACTTAGCTTACACTCCTACCTATGCTTTGATACAATCAAGCAATATTTTTGGAAATTTGATTGATAATTTGTCAACATATATGATACCATGTAATCCTTAAAAAATTAATTGTACTGTCTTGGACTCACGGTGTCACCTTTATACAGTAATTTTTAAAATTATAATGTGATTATTAAATTCAAACCGAATGAAATAGAACCTAGAAATTTAAATAGGGAAGACAATCGGAGCCGGTGGAACTATCTTTTCCTTAGGGGAGCAATCCCAACCAGAATCAGGGGTGTAAGACAAATCAAAATGCTTAGGAATCCAATCTTCTCCCCTTGATTTCCTTTGTTTCAAGAGTTCTCTTTCCTTTTCTTCCACTGCTCTCTTTGCCTCTCTTGCTTTGTCCCAGTCTTTTCTTAGAATAGCTTTGCTCACTTCTGCCCACACTCCTGCCGATTCACTTTGCCACACTCCCTTAAAACGATGTATACATTAGAATAAGTACACCAGTCCATTACACCAGAGCTAGTTTAGTTGTTAAAATATATTTTAAAACTATTATCACAATATCAAAAGTTTAACATGTTCACGTATAATGAATGTGCAATGCATTTATCTGATTTTTACTTATATGAACTTATTCTATTTTATTTGAATGAACTAACATGATCTTATTAGGCCTTATCAAAATCTATTTTAGTTGTATTTTAAACTTGGGTACCTTTAGATTATCATCACAACATAACTTAATAAATTTTTTCTGAACTTAGCTTATCTTAACTTAGCTGCCCTTAAACCTAAAATAACTGAAAATAAAGTCAACATAATACCCCTAAATCCTCTGAAATGTCCCCCCCCCTAAAAATGTCTTTTTTTATGATTAATTAGGATTATATATCAATTGTAATAAGGAATTACATACATATATTAAGAGCATTTCTTTGCACATGACCAAAATCTATCAATGTCTTGTTCTCTTTACCTTATAGTGTTATACTAATAAGCAAAAGCGAAAATACATGGCTTAAAAAGAATCAACTACTTCCTCCGTTTTTTTAGTTGCATCACTTTCATAAAAAGAAGTTTTAAATTAGTTACATTACTTTCCTTTTTAACTAATAAATTCTCTTTATCTCTCTCATACCACATAGAACCCATTTATTTTTCTTTCTACCATTTGGTACTCCAAAAATTGTTCGTGAAAATAAAAGTGATACAACTTAAAAAACAAAGGATATATTAAGGGGGGGGGGGGAGAGGCATGACACCCGTCGAATTATCCCCTTCTCAACAAAAATTGAAGGTAAACTAAGAAAAAAAAACTACCTCATTATGGTCCCTTAGAATCGGGGTAGGAAGTGCAGAAATAACCCCTTTTGGACCGTATAGGACTTTGGTTTTTCCATCCGTAATATCTTTTATATAAACACACCTGGAGCAAAAAAAAAATGATGTATATATTTTTGTTAAGCAAGAATATATATCATTCGTAATATCGAATAGAGTTTTTATAACCTAAATTGAACAAATAGGTTACGGGTACCTGTCCCAATGGCCATAGATTTCAAATAACTTCTTGGACGAATCAAAGATCTTGCCTTTGATAGCCCCATTGTCCCCTCCAAAGCCTAAAAAAGAACCACTTTTAAAGTGTAGCTCAGCTTCAAGTCCTGTTTCTTGGCACTTAATCTTGACATTTCCTACCCAAGAAGCACCTGGTTTTGGTAATAACCTATATTGTAGTATTGGAGAGTTCATCACATAACTTTCTCCCTTTTCTAGTAGATTTAGCGTCCTTTTTCCATGTATCACTCCTTCTATGACGGTTCCTATGTATTAAAAGAGGGAGAAAATCATTAAAACTAAACATAATTAAATAGAGAACAAACTCATCAGGTCTTGGATACCACCCTCAAAACTTTAACTAACTAAGCTAGTTAGCATCCACACGTCTGTATAGTGAGGGATGATATATCGATGCATTTCCCATACTCAAAAAACTTTTAGTTAGCATCTACACGTCTGTATAGTGAGGGATGATATATCGATGCATTTCCATACTCAAAAAACTTTTAGTTAGCATTCACACGTTTGTATAGTGAGGGATGATATATCGATGCATTTCCATACTCAAAAAAACTTGGAAACCACTTGTACTACTACAATAATTTTGTACTCGAATTTGCACAATTAATAATTATTAGAAATAATCTAAATTCCAAAATGTAAATCAATTTCAGTTTTATCAAACTAAAAACTTGAAATTGGATAAGATATGGAACATGCTCGATCTAACAGTTTAGTTTTGGTTCAAAATAAACAATCAACAACTAATCAATAGGAAGTAATTATATAAATCTCTTAGATTAGTTGAGTGATTATTCTTAATTAAGGAATTTAAAATGCAACCTAGCAAATTAAAGAAGTAATTGGAATACCATAGAATTTAGGAACAGCATGTTGGCACCAAATGAGCTCAATATTGTTAGCCTCGTCTGTTCCATGCATTGCGGATACTGGCGGGTGATGAGAAATCTACAAATAAAGAGCCAAAAAAATCATATTGGTGTTTAGAATTATATTAAACCGGCACCTGTCACAAATTTAGCCTGTTCAGGTCCGCAGGTCAACGCTTGAGAGTAGAGGGGGAGGTAATGGAATCCCCCTACTCCCAAGTATTTTGTAATTAGTGGGGCTCGAACTTGTGACCTCTAAGTCATAAGGCACGGTTCACCACTAACTTCAAATTTAGTTTTTAATCTATATATGTACTACAAAAGATTTAATTAAATTACTTGTACATTACGAGCATACGTACTTGTTCAGCTAGGATGTTGAAGGTGCCTCTAGACGCATGGTGAGTTTCGCCAAGAATGGGGTTGAACGGGGCGACTCCAAACACCGGCATACGAACAGTCGAGAGATTCCAAGCAACAACGGAGATCATCCGATCAACAGCGTTCTCTCCGGTCGTGCATTTTCTAAGCATGTCCGTGTTTACACAATAGACTAATTCTCCATAGCATTGTAGTTGTGATTTTGGAAGATTAAATAAGGGAGGTAGCTAAAATTATACACATTGAAATATCCTAATTTTATTAATGAATTATTGCAAAAACATAATTTAATTCAAATTTTTGTTTTTGATTAGCAACTAACTAACAATGTACGAGTCATTCTTAAGAAAGACTATTTAATTTCGGTGTGGGGAAGATCTTATAGGTTTAGAAGACAGTTATGACATTATTTTTACTAATTTGTTCCCTTAAAATGACCAATTTTGTATGTGGCAATAATCTTACATTGAAACGAGTAAGATCAGCTCCAGGTCTAATGTTCTTGAATAGACTGAAAATCAATTGAAGAATATTAGGAGCCTTGTAATCGGTATCTGATGTCCCTTCTAGAGAGAGTGGAGATGTTAATATGATATCCTTCTTGTTCTCTATCTTCAAATCGTGAACCTAAACATCCATCACCAAACAATTATGTAAGTTCAATATATATTTTTCGTAAGTTTAAAGTATAAAGTGTAGTTCATCAATAAGCTATTATCATATTATATGACATTCAATAAGATTTTTATCAAAGAAATAATACAATAACTTAGAGAATCGCTCGGCCTAAAAACTAATTATGTTAATGAAAACATAGTCATAAATAGTTTGTGAGAGCGAAGGATAAGCTCAAGTTGTTAGAGCTTCACTCTCAGTTCCAGGATATCCTGAAATTAATTCTCATTAGTCGTCCTTGTCGCTCTCCAAACACGAAAAGAAAAAGTTGTTAATAGTTTGTTTTTTAAAATTAAAAAGGCATTGTCATTGTTGAAACTTAAGGTTTGTGGTTGAGACTTGAGAAGTTGAGAGGCTATTCTTAAACAGTCAGCTTCATATGCATGGCAACTTAACAAAAAACGTACACGTAAATTTTAATTTATTACCATTTTTTTTGTTATTTGTCAAAGTTTAATGCCAACGTTACTGATGTAGATAACCTTGTCAATGAATTGAAACTAAACGAAGTAACACAATGAAGGAAAAAAAACTCAAAAAAGTGTACGAATTGTTAATCTTCGGATTTATGTATTGAGTTAATAAAATGTAAAAGCATTTAGAAAACACATCTATATAACACTCATATTAAGATATTACATTTCTTAAACACGTTAATTAAAAAGTTAATGTTAATTCCAATCAACTCGGCTAAAAAAACCATGTATAAAAGAAAGTCATCCTCTTATTTAATACGAGTATTAATTTATTTGAACTAAATGTCTAATTTTAGTCAAAATTTGTGAGATTAATATTAGTACAACAATGCAATACAAATAGACATTATAGTATATCTTCCCTCGACCAAGTTTCAAATGCAGTTTCATATGCAATTAAAAGAATGAAACCTTAGAATATTATGTGTAACTTTGGAATATTTTATATCTTACAAATAAAACCCTAAAGTTGCACATAACAATTAAGGAGATAGTATATATACTCCGTAGTAAGCTCCATGGATAAAATGGAGAAACAAAATATATACTTGTATGTAAAAGTAAAAGAAATTTTGAGCTAAACCATAATGTCTACAAATGTATACGATGTACAATTAGCATAATGCAAAAAATCCTTTAATTTAAGTGGTTCAAACAAAGAATAACAAATAACCAAAGTTCATCAATATTTTTACTTATTCACAACATAAATTGTCTGCTTAATATTAATACAACAAATTAAAATGATATTCTTATAGCCTTATTGCCTATAGACTATAACAAATTAATAGTAATCTATTATTGACTATTGTAGTAGACAAGTAGCGATGATAATCTCCTCGTATGTACTCATGGATACTTTATCTCTAGATTATACTGTATTATTGCACTTACTCGAATTATCACTTATATTAAGAAAAAAACACAAATCTAGAAAGAGATTAAATTTTTTTTTTGCAACAATAAGCTCAATAAACAAAATTAAAAAGAGAGAGAGAGAGTTGCGTACCATTATGATATGATGAGGTGATGAAGAAAAGAGAAGAAAAGAGGAGGATATTTTATATTAGGAGTGAAAAATTATTAAGTGTTGAAGTGTTAAGTGAGGAGACAAATAAATAAACAAGTGTTGGAAGTGTTTTAAATGTTTATGCTGCCTTTATGGTTTTGAGAATGCGAGGTAGTTAATATATGCAATGGTTGTACTTCAACTACGTAGAATTCATATTAATTGGTTGTTAGATATTTCATGAACTTGCATGCTCTTTAGTCCATCCAACTCATCTGTCTTCTCTTCGCGTCGATTCAAGCAAAGTGTTCTGATTTGACTAATCCTTAACCTAATTTAAATCGCAATACTTTTGTTTACGTCCATCTCAATATGAATCATCAGCAAATCAACAATAAAATACTCATATAAAATTTAGTATACGTATGTATTATTAAGTATTTAAGTGGGTTTTTATTCTTCAAAGAAATTGTATTTATGTTACATTTCTATTTTTAGATAAAATGTTCTAGTCCACACAAGAATTTGATTTTTTTTTTTTTGTTTGTAAAAATGTGTCACATCTGGATATCATATATACTACGTCGATTGTCAAGGCCATTTTAGATTCTTTCTCCAGTTTCCAGGCGCTTCACATTTATCGGGAAGGAAATCAGGCAGACTATGTCGCTTCTCTAGGCTACTCCACTCCGACCCATCAAGATATCAACCCTTTTTTAGATAGCAAATTTTCTTATTTCTTACTTCTTGATAGTTTAGGTCACGGTCTTGCAAGAAGACGTACCTAAACTCCTACTTGTATCTTACTTTTTTAAAAAAAAAAAAAATATACTACGTCGATTAAGAAAAGAATAACGAGAACCTACAATTGACTAGTTACTAACAGAATTGCTTAGTACTGTAGTAAAGAGGAAGTACAAAATTAGATAGAATAATTAATTGCAAAGACCCTGGATAATTTCCTATTAATGTACTATGGCGTTAAATTTTAATTGCGTGCAATTAATATTAGGCCCTGTTTGATTCACCTTAATTTTGCTGAACTGAAATTATTTTTACTGAACTGAAATTATTTTTACTGAACTGAACTTAATTTTACTGAACTGAAATTATTTTTACTGAACTGAAATTATTTTTACTGATTTTCTATTATAATTCTTCTTTAAGAAAACTGAATTTTACTGAACTGAACTTATTTTTACTGAACTGAAATTATTTTTACTGAACTGAAATTAATTTTACTGAACTGAACTTATTTTTACTGAATTGAAATTATTTTTACTTAATATTATTTTTTTAAGGTGAATCAAACAGAGCCTTACTTGGTAGTATATTTCACGCATAGTGTACTATCTCATTTTGTGTACTTGCAATTATTGAATGCGTACATATTCGGAAAATTTAAATTATTGTAAGAAACTACTCCACCTGATAAAAAAATTATTGTAAGAAACTACCTAATAAAAGATAAGATGTTGTAAGAAACTACCTTATAAAAAACAAAATATTGTAAAATATTACATCTGCCTGAATTTTCCTCGTTGACATAATTTTTCGGCATTGACCCACCTCAAAACACTTCTGAACCACCACGAAGGTTGGTTTATAAGGTGGTAAGGCTATTTTTGGGGTAGTTAAGGGGTATTGTGGGCTACGAGATGGTGCTTTTTGGTGTAAGTTGTTGTTCTTTGGGGTTGGAGGGTGGTTTCGGTGTGGTGGAGGAAGTGTCAAGTGGGTTGTGTTGGTTTTGGGGATGAAAACGGTGGTTTAAGGGGTTTTTAAGGTGGTCAACATCGGAAAACTAGGTTAACGTTGAAAATGCGATCAAATGTAGCATTTTACAACATTTTATCTTTAATCAAGTAGTTTCTTACAATTTTTTTTTATTAGGTAGTTTCTCATAAAATTTGGTTATTATTAAGTACTTTCTAACAAAAAAATCCTTTTTAATTTGTTGTTATTTTGACTTTTATGTGAGATAATCATCATTTAACAAACTTTAGAAACGAAGGGAGTAATTCGTGATTCATTAATGCTAAGTATAAATGACAAAAATCCTCACTGATTGGTCTCCTCTTAACCGGTACAAACTTGTAAGCTTGATTTGAACGAAGGGAAACGACCAATGTATGTGTGGATCATATTAGTTTCTTGACTTTCTTCTCTGATTAATTGAGTTATTGCTGTTATATAAAGTGAAAACTTACCCTTTTTAATTTATTATCTTCATTTATAAAATTTGTCGTACTCTACCAAAACATGCTATATTTATCATAGTAGCATCAATCGATGCCTCTTCTAGTGAAACCTTCTATAGTGTGATGCAGGGATAAGAATTCAGATGCATTGCATCAATTAAATCTAACTAATTTTTGAATTTCATTAATTATTTGTCGACATGCAATATAAATATAATCTTTTGTTCTCGATTAATTTAATAGTCACGGTGTCAAATTGTCACCTTTAGTTTGTAATAATTTAAATTAGTAACGTATGTAACTATTAAATCGAACTTACTGATATAAAATGAAGAAAGTTAATTAAATAGGAAAGATGAACGGAGCCGGTAAAAGCTTACATATATAGTACTACGTATAAATTAATTAAGTTACGGAGGAGAAAGAATGAACTTTCACATAAAAACTTACACTCCTACTACCTATGCCTTTGACACAATAATCAAGCAATATTTTTTTACAAATTTGATTGATAATTTGTCAACATGATACCATATAATCCTTAAATATATAATTAATTGTCACGGTTTCACCTTTATATAGTAATTTTGAACAAGTAGATGAATGTGACTATTTAATTCGAACTGAATGAAATAGTGTAGAAAATTAAATAGGGAAGATGATCGGAGCCGGTGACACAATCTTTTGTTTAGGCGAGCAATCCCAACCAAAATCAGGGGTGTAAGACAAATCAAAGTGTTTAGGAATCCAATCTTCTCCCCTTGATTTTCTTTGCTTCATGAGTTCTCTTTCCTTCTCTTCAACTGTTCTCTTTGCCTCTCTTGCTTTATCCCACTCTTTGCTTAGAATAGCTTTGCTCACTTCTGCCCATACTGTTGTCGATTCACTTTGCCACACCCCCTTTAACATAAAATTGAATAATCACGCCGTTACAACAAAGCTAGTTTAGTTGGTAAAATATTTTACTAAAGTAATCACATATTCACAATGTATATATTCATTTATCATGTTTAGAGTTATCAATTGTTACAAGCTAAGGTCACAAGATGTATAACAACAAATGTGGTATATGTACCTCATTAGGGTCCCTTGGAATTGGGGTGGGAAGTGCAGAAACAACCTACCCAAGAAGCACCTGGTTTTGGTAACAATCTAAATTGTAGAGTTGGAGAATTCATCACATAACTCTCTCCCTTATCTAATAGATTTAGCCTCCTCTTTCCTTGGGTCACTACATCTATGACAGTTCCTAAGACATTAGATTATTAGAGAACAACATTGAAGAAAATAAATTAGTTATTCAACTTGCTTATTGGTTAGTTATATTAGCTAGTTTGACTAATTAAAGTACGAGTATTTGTTAAAAATTCATTACTCGATACATAATTACTTTAATTGTACCATATTAAAAACTAGAAATTAAAAAGAATTGATACTACTAGTCCTAACTTGGTCTTTGGACATTCTTATTTGAAAAGCCTCAACTTTTTTTCAACTTATGGCAATCCCAACTTCATTTTGGGATACTTCTTAAAAACAATTCCTAACTTATTATTAATAGACAAACCGGTTAAAATATCACTTGTTGATTTTTTAGTGATTTGTTTTACTAAATACTGTGAATTGTATTGTTTTAAGGTGAAGAGAACATGCCCGAAGGAAGGGGTGGGTGTTTAGAGGGGTGGAGGATTAATTTTTTTTTTAAACAAAGGGCTTGTTCTCTTACGTTGAAATTCAGTTCAGTTCAGTTCAGCTCGGTTCAATAATTCAGTTCAGTTCAGTTCAGTTCAGCTCAGTTCAGTTCAGCTCCTAATTTCATTCTCTTATAAAATATTTATTTCAGTTCAGTTCAGCTCAATTCAGTTCAGTTCAGTTCAGCTGAGTTCAGTCAATGAGAACAGGCCCTAAAAGCAAACATGTAATTATTATGCAAACTAAACAATGAATAATTAATTAATACGGAATACAAATAAATTATATAATTCTCTTAGCCATAATAATAATAATTTAATTCCGAACATATGCTTTAATAGTTGAGTGATTATTAAGGTATTTCAATAAAAAAAAAAGGTTGAGTGATTATTAAGGAATATAAAATGTACATAAGCATTTTAAAGGAGTAATGACAATACCATAGAACTTAGGAACATTATGTTGGCACCAAATGAGTTCAATATTGTTAGCCTCGTCAGTTCCATGCAACGCTGTTACTGGCGGATGATGAGAAACCTACAAAGTACAAATTAAACAAGGGGCAGCAAAAGATGTTACAAATACGTATGTATGTATATATATATACGGTAATACGGAGTACAAAATATTAAATTAAATTAAATTAGTAGATCACATAAATACGTACTTGTTCAACTAGTACAATCTTATACGGTAATACGGAGTACTAAATATTAAATTAAATTAGTATGTACTTGTTCAACTAGGACGTTGAGGGTGCCTCTAGATGCATGATGAGTTTCACCAAGAATAGGGTTGAATGGGGCAACCCCGAACACCGGCCTACGAAGAGCGGAGAGGTTCCAAGCAACAACCGAGATCATCCGGTCGACGGCATTATCTCCGGTGGCACATTTTCTAAGCATGTCCATGTTTACACAATAGACTAATTCTCCATAGCATTGTAGTTGTGATTTTGGAAAATTAAACAAGGGAGGTAGCTGAAAATGTACACATTTTATTGTTATTACGTAATAAACTAGAGTAAAAACATAATTTAATTCAAAATTTTGGATTTGACTCCCATTCATTAAATATATTACTCCCCTCTGTGCCACGTAAACCCGGCCCCTTTATTACGTCACGTCATCCACTCAACTTCTCATTACTTCACGTATCTATCACCTCTACGTCACGTCATCTATTTGGCTTCTCATTCATCATCTCATTATTACATGTTATGCCCTTATAATATAATAAAAAAGTTCCCTACAAGATTTAATTTGAACATGCAAACTCTAATCTATATCTATATCTATCTATATCTATACTTAGTATTTAAAAATTATAACCAAAAAAACTAAGAAAGACACATGTCCCCATCCATTCTATTACACTTTTCTAACCATAGTGCCACATGTCATCTTACACTATTAAATTTTTATTATAACATTTTTTTTAATTCTTTCATTAAACTTATACTTCATCTTTCGTACACACTCCATCTCTTCATCTTCATCTCTCCCCTTTAATTCAACCTTTTCCTATTCTCTTTTTAATTTTAGCCCTTCCACCTTTTATTTAAGCCTCTTTTTCGATCAAAGTTCCAAAATTTTAATTTCGTTAATCATGTTTCCGATTACATATTATATGACTTACTGATATTTCCTCACTTATCTCTCAATACAATTTTATATGAATAACCCGTGCATTGCACGGGCCATAAGGCTAGTTCTAGAATTAAATGTCTTACCGTCAAGCCAATCTATGTGATATTTTTATGTTGTTGCTGGAATACAAAATATTACTCGTAATATATAGCAATGACTGTGTGAATAACAAATTTGATTACATTGCATGACATTTAAGTCATAAATTAAAACGTATATTGATGATCAACCCATATAATGGCCCAGGGCATCCGGGCCCAAATACTAGTTTTAAAATGATAGATTGCTTTTGAAATTTAGTAAGTGTAAGATTATAGTAGTGTACACAATTATGACATTTTTAGTTTTTATTTACTCATTTGTTCCCTTAAAATGACCAATTTTGTACGTGGCATAAAATTAATCAAAGTAGATAAAACCTTACATTGAAATGAGTAAGATCAGCTCCAGGTCTAATATTCTTAAAGAGACTGAAAATCAATTGAAGAATATTGGAAGCCTTGTAATCAATATCCAATGAAATCCCTTCTAGAGAGAGTGGAGATGTTAATATGACATCCTTATTGTTCTCAGTCTGCAAATCATGATCCTATATATACATACATATCATCATCAACTAAGTTACTGCGTATATAAGGTCCGTTGAGTGAAAATCGGATGAATAGGACACGACTTATTAAGTTTCATAATATAAGTTCTACTCGATTCAAATAAGAACAATAAATTCAGATAAATGAAAATCAAATGAACAATAATTTTTAACTCCATAATTTAAATAATGGTTCTACATGCAAAATTAAATACATCAACAAATTAAAACTTATTGAAAATGAAAAACAAAAAACATATTGAAACTTAAGGAGTAGTTGTTGATGTCGTTCTTGAAAAAATGAGTAAACAAATAAATGAAACGTTGCACAGTGAGGTAAAATTGTTTGACCTTAAGTGGAGATGTTAGATGCGCAAATGCTAAGTGAAGCTACTTTGTAAAGCAAATATAGTTGAACATTGAATGTTGATAATTAATTTGGTCAATCAAATGACTGTCTGTGCAACGTGCTCCTAATAAGTGTAGCCAATGACCCAATAGTGTGAGAGAGTTACTGTTGTGCGACAGCGGAAGCAAAGGTCGTAAACAAACAAGAAAACAATAAAGAAATTCAATGCAAACAATAAGAACAACACCAAGAATTTACGTGGTTCACTATCGATGTGATAGCTACGTCCACGGGCACCGAGATCGAATGATTTCACTATAAACTGCAAAGATTACAAAGATGATTCTTGTATTTCTCAAGAACGGCTCTCACTCTGTCTCTCTTTTAACCCTAATACTGATATTAGGGAGGTTTTATATTAATCCCTAAAATAAAAGATACTTGGGCAAAAAGATAACATAAAAGATAACTTTAAATCGTAAAATCCGCGTCTCCGCATTTTTCCTTCTCCGCCCGGTCAGACCGGGCAAGGTCTGCCCGATCGGGCGCGAGAAGAAAACTCCATACGAATGCTTCAACGTATCCAACCCCCACCGCCCGGTCAGACCGGGCAAGGTCTGCCCGATCGGGCGAAGGCTCGCCCGGTCGGGCGAAGGCTCGCCCGGTCGGGCGCGAGAGCAGCTTCTTCAACGAATTTGCCAGGCACCTCTTCTTCTTCCGCCCGGTCAGACCGGGCAATGTCCGCCCGATCGGGCGGACAAAGCTACGAAGTACGAGTCACCTAATATACTTATCAACAATCTCCACCTTGACGAGAACTCGTAGTCAGCAAACGACCCCATCAAGACATAGTGAAAAAACATCTCAAGCCAAACCCGATGCAGGACTCATGCATAAGCCATACATCCCGATAAGTCTTCAACCAAGACCCATCACATACTCGTCTCCAAGTATAACAACTCATAATGCTCCACCTGCATCACAAGCCCCGGGCAAGCTCCACCTTAATGCCAACACACCTACACCAGGAGCTCCCCAACTTCGCCCCTCAGGGCCTACTACATCACGTAGTAATCAATATTTAGCAAGTCTAAGCAATGTTTAAACTTGCTAAACGGAACAGGCTTAGTGAAGAAATCAGCCGGGTTGTCAGCAGTCCCAATCTTCTTCACCTTAATCCTCTTGTCAGTACGCAAGAAATGATACCTGACATCAATGTGCTTCGTCCGATCATGGTGTACTTGATCTTTAGCTAAGCAAATCGCACTTAGACTATCACAATACACTGTAGCAAAATCCTGTGCAATACCCAGTTCACCTACTAGGCCTTTGAGCCAAATAGACTCCTTAGCTGCAGAAGTTAAAGCCATATACTCAGCTTCAGTAGTTGACAACGTAACTGATGACTGCAATGTAGACTTCCAACTAACCACAGAACCACCCAAAGTGAACACATAACCAGTCACAGACCTCCTGGTATCCACATCAGCTGCATAATCAGAATCACTGTACCCAGTGACCAAGCATTCCCTACCATTCCCGTACACAAGACCAATATCAGTTGTCCCTCTCAGGTAGCGAAAAATCCTTTTCACCCCTTGCCAGTGTTCCCTCCCAGGTCGAGCCATAAACCTGCTTACAACACTAACAGCATGCGCAATATCCGGCCTAGTACAGACCATAGCATACATCAAACAACCAACCGCGTTTGCATATGGAACTCTAGACATATAAGACAACTCCTCCTCTGATTGAGGTGACATAGACAAAGACAACTTACAACTAACAGTAGTTGGCGTACTTATAGGCTTCGATTTTTCCATCCCAAAACGAGACAAAATCTTTTCAATGTAGCTTTTCTGAGTCAAGAAAAGCTTACCTCTAGCCCGATCCCTGTAGATCTCCATACCCAAAATCTTCCTAGCTGCACCCAAGTCTTTCATGTCAAACTCCGAGTTAAGCATCTCCTTTAATCTAGCAATATCAGATTTATTCTTTGTGGCAACCAACATGTCATCAACATATAACAAAAGATAAATCATGGAACCATTATCCAGCTTACTATGATACACACAGCAATCATATGAATTCCTGTCAAAACCTTGTGAAACCATAAAAGAATCAAACCTTTTGTACCACTGTCGGGGGGATTGCTTAAGTCCATACAATGACTTTAGCAATCTGCAGGCATAGTGTTCCTTTCCAGGAACTTCGAATCCTTCGGGCTGCTTCATCAGAATCTCCTCCTCCAAATCGCCATGAAGGAAGGCCGTTTTAACATCCAACTGCTCCAGCTCAAGATCAAAATGTGCTACAATTGACAATAACACACGGATAGAAGTATGTCGAACCACAGGTGAGAATATCTCAACAAAATCAACCCCTTCTACCTGACTGAACCCCTTAGCAACTAGCCTAGCCTTAAAACGTATTTGCTCAGTTTCCGACAACCCTTCTTTCTTCTTGTAAATCCATTTACAACCCACAAGCTTCCTCCCTTCCGGTACCTTTACCAGTTCCCACACTCTGTTCTTGTAAAGAGACTGCATCTCTTCACCCATTGCGGCAAGCCATTGCGCAGACTCACTACAACTAATTGCTTGTTTATATGTGGCAGGTTCAAATGACTCTACATCATCAGCTACACTCAATGCATAACCTGTCATCGCATCAACACAGCAATTTCTTCCCTCCATCTCTTCAATCAATCTAACAGGCTTCTTGATAACTCGTTTAGGCATCTCAAGAATGGTGTCAGGTTGACTAGATGACCCCTGATTAGATTGCTCCACCTCATCCCCAGAGTTAGAATGAGTAGGAGTAATCTCAGGTTCAGGAGTACCCGGCACTGGAACATCAGCATCATCATCAATATATTGTACCCGAGGTAAATCAGCAATGGTAGACTGATGTACCTCAAGTACCCCATCTGTCTGTAATAAATTGTCTCCTTCCCTTCTCAAATCTGAAATCTCTGCATTTTTAATTGAATACATGGTGTTTTCATCGAAAGTAACATCCCTACTAAGAATGACCCGACCCTCCGAAGGTGAAAAAATTCTAAACCCCTTCACACCATCCCCGTACCCAACAAAACACCCCTTCTTGGCTCGTGGATCCAGCTTACCCTCAATAACATGATAATAAGCAACACAACCAAAAATCTTCAAATTCGAAAAATTAGGCAACTTACCACTCCAGATCTCAAACGGAATCTTGGAATCAATTCCAGAATGAGGACCCCTATTAATGACATAACAAGCTGTTAACACAGCTTCACTCCAGTACCTCCTCCCAAGCCCTGCATTAGAGAGCATGCATCGAACTCTCTCTAGCAGTGTCTGATTAACCCGTTCTGCTACACCGTTCTGCTGTGGTGTCTTCCTGACAGTATGATGCCGACCTATACCCTCATCTGCACAGAACTGATTAAACTCGTCTTTGCAAAACTCTAGCCCATTGTCCGTTCGTAGCTTCTTGATCTTCCTTCCTTGTCGATTTTCCACCAAAGCTTTCCATTGCTTGAAAACTTTGAAGGCCTCATCCTTTGACTTAAGCAACCTAAGCCATGTGTATCGGGACTTGTCATCAACAAATGACACAAAATAGTGGTAACCTCCCATACCTTCAACTCTAGATGGACCCCAGCAATCTGAATGGATGTAATCGAGCACTGCATCAGTAATGTGAGCACCCTTGCTGAACTTTGACCTGTGTTTCTTACCAAACACACAATGCTCACAAAATTCAAGGTTGGCAACCTTGACCCCGGATAGAAGACCCCTCTTGGACAATAGCTGCATCCCCTTCTCCCCCATATGACCAAGCCTCATGTGCCAAATCTTAGTCATCTCCTGGTGAGATACAGATGCGCAAACCGCAGAACTAGGCAGTGTAACACCCTCAAAAACATAGAGGGTGTTCCTTTTGATACCCTTAAGTACCAACTCAGAACCTCTGAAAATACACAACTCCCCATCTGAAAACACACCATTGTACCCCAATTCATCCAGGGTACCCAATGAAATCAGATTCTTTCCTAAAGCAGGAACATGCCGTACATTAGTCAAAGTTAACCTCCGCCCATCAACAGTCCTCAACCTCATGGAACCAATACCTGTGACCTTACATGGAGCATTGTTACCGACTATAACCATACCCCCATTGCGAGGTTCATATGTATCAAACCAATCTCGACGTGGACACATATGGAACGAACACCCCGAATCTAGAACCCAGTTATCAGATAAATCATCAGACCTAGCAGAACTGACTAATGCTAAATCTTCCTCTGAATTATAGCTCTCATTCGGTTTCTCTTCAACTACAGCAGCCTGGGACTTGTTTTTCCTCACCGGACAATTATTCCTAAAGTGACCCGGTTCTTTACAGTAATAACATGTTTTAGTAGTAGTTTTACTAGATCCATCCTTGCCGTTTCCAGCACCCGACCCAGCATTGTTCCCCTTGTTAAACCCCTTATTCTTTTTAGACTTTCCGGACTTAACAAATAACCCACTACCATTATCCCCATTATCACTCGTAGCTTTCATTCTGAGTTCCCTAGTATGAAGTGCTGCCTTCACTTCTTCTAAGGTTATAGAATCCTTACCAACAACAAAAGACTCTACAAAATTCTCAAAGCTAGACGGTAGAGATACAAGTAAAATCAACGCAGCATCCTCATCATCAATTTTAACATCTAAATTACGTAAATCAAGCAAAATAGAGTTAAGTTTTTCTAGATGTTCCCGTAAGGAAGTACCTGACTGCATCCGGAGGCTAAACAACCGCTGTTTCAGTAATAATTTGTTGGTCAACGACTTAGTCATATACAATGACTCCAGCTTCAGCCACAATCCAGCCGCCGTTTCCTGATCAGCAACCTCCGTGATGATTTGATCATCAAGACTAAGTAATATGGTAGAGTGTGCCTTCTCTTCCATAACTTCTAACTGCGAGTCAGTCGGTCCGTCTCCTGACTCCGAAGTAGTACTCTTTGGAGCCAACGGACGCCATATCTGCTGTTGTTTTAACAGAGCCTTCATCTTAATTTGCCATAGCCCGAAACTATTTTTCCCGGTAAACTTCTCAATTCTTATTGTTGAATCTCCTGCCATTGTTATCTTCAAGAAACTCTCCAAGGATTGAACCTGAGCTCTTGATACCAATTGTTGTGCGACAGCGGAAGCAAAGGTCGTAAACAAACAAGAAAACAATAAAGAAATTCAATGCAAACAATAAGAACAACACCAAGAATTTACGTGGTTCACTATCGATGTGATAGCTACGTCCACGGGCACCGAGATCGAATGATTTCACTATAAACTGCAAAGATTACAAAGATGATTCTTGTATTTCTCAAGAACGGCTCTCACTCTGTCTCTCTTTTAACCCTAATACTGATATTAGGGAGGTTTTATATTAATCCCTAAAATAAAAGATACTTGGGCAAAAAGATAACATAAAAGATAACTTTAAATCGTAAAATCCGCGTCTCCGCATTTTTCCTTCTCCGCCCGGTCAGACCGGGCAAGGTCTGCCCGATCGGGCGCGAGAAGAAAACTCCATACGAATGCTTCAACGTATCCAACCCCCACCGCCCGGTCAGACCGGGCAAGGTCTGCCCGATCGGGCGAAGGCTCGCCCGGTCGGGCGAAGGCTCGCCCGGTCGGGCGCGAGAGCAGCTTCTTCAACGAATTTGCCAGGCACCTCTTCTTCTTCCGCCCGGTCAGACCGGGCAATGTCCGCCCGATCGGGCGGACAAAGCTACGAAGTACGAGTCACCTAATATACTTATCAACAGTTACATACCATTATGATCGATCGATATGATGAGGTGAGATAGAAAGAAGTACAAAACTAGCTACTCATCAAATAAGCAATGCTTGAATGTTTATGTTGCCTTAATTTAATGGTTTTGAGAAATGCAAAGTAGTTCATGGTTGTACTAGCAATAACTCCATCAATCATAGAAGAAACTAATGTGATTCACACATGACACATTGCTCATTTCGTTCATTCAATTCTTGTTCAGAAGTTTGTATTGGTTAGAGGAGACCAATCATCGAGGATTTTTGTAATATATAAACTACGTTGTAGCTCGGGATCGATTTATTTTTTCTATCATTAACTACTTTGTATATCAAAGTACTATCATTTATCAGTGCCTCGATCTCCTAGTAAATAAATCTTTATATAGTGGTTGGGACAGATCTCCTAGTGAATCCTTAGAATACATCAAATGAAAATAAGAGAAAGTAATTCATTATAAGGTAAATAAATAAATAAATACAAGGATTTACGTGGTTTGATCAAATAAGAGTACATTTAAAGATGGAGGATTCAAGAGCTTCTCTTACAAAGAAAATAATATAAGTAGTCTTAAATACCGAATGGTTTTAGAGTGTGATCTAATTGATCTCCCAATAAAACCTAGAGTATCTATACTATATACTAAAGTAATCACCAGAGTTATTCCTTAAGTACACATGTCACATTCACAACAAAAATTTTCCCGCCCAAATATTTTTTAGCTTATTTTTTTTAAATTTCTTTTTTTCCCTTAAAAAATAACATGATAAAAAAAATTTAATGAAAAAAAAACTTACAATAATTTATAAAATATTTTAAATAATGTATCTAACATGAGAATTTTAAGGATAGACATGATATGAATTCAAATTCAAAAATAAAAAATGTTGCATATAAGCCATTTCATTTAAACTAACTCCATTTTAATTGAATTTTGTTAATTAATTTATTTATTTTAATTTTCAAGTCTTATTATTATAAATCCGTGCATTTGCACGGGGATAAAACTAGTTTCCCATATATAAGTCTAATATATGTCATAGAAAAAGGGCTAATGGATACATGCATCCACTTCAACTCTAATTTTATTCAATTTGTTTTGTCAAAAAAAAAAAAAAAAATATTCAATTTGTCTTTTAAACTTACACTAGCTCTAACATATTTATACAGTACTTGAGTAATTAAACTAAATTACCATTACATTTAATCATTAACATTATCCAAAAAAAAATTAAAAAAAAAGTTAAATTAAATTGGGAAAATAATAGGAGCAGGTGGAATGGTCTTTTCTTTAGGAGTGCATTCCCAACCAAATTCAGGGGAATAAGATAAATCAAAATGCTTTGGAAACCAATCTTCACCCACTGACTTCCTTTGTTTTAAGAGTTCTCTTTCTCTCTCCTCAACTGTTCTCTTTGCTTCTCTTGCTTTGTCCCACTCTTTGCTTAGAATTCCTTTACTCACTTCTCCCCATATTACCCCTGATTCACTTTGCCACACTCCCTGAAAATTTATATGCTAAATCATTAATATCTTAAATTAAAATTAAGAAAACAAAATGAGAAAAGAGTTTAGAGCTAATACAACATTAAGAAATTCGTTGGAATATGAGTACCTTTGGATCCTTTAGGGTTAAGGCGGGAAGTGCAGAAAGAACTTCTCTGGCATCGTATAGGACTTTAGTTTTTCCATCTATGGTATCCGTTATATTTACAATCCTGAAAATGTATAAATATTGAAATTAGAATTCCATGACACATGCTAGATATCTGACTAGGTCACTCGGCCTACCAATAACTTCATAAAAGGTCACACCCGGTCAATATGTACCTAATCCCATATTATAACAAAATTATTTGATGTAAATTTGAACAAGGAATTCTTGAAAATAACGCAATTACCTGTCCCATTGGCCATGAATTTCATATAATGTCTTGAAAGTAGATGAATCGATGATCTTTCCTTTAACAGATCTGCTGCCTCCAAAACCTAAAAATGTACCACTTTTGAAGGATAATTCAGCTTCAAGACTAGTTTCTTGGCACTTGATTCTAACATTTCCTACCCAATCAACTCCAAGCTTTGGCAATAATCTTATCAACAATTTTGGAGCATTCATCACATAACATTCTCCCCTATTTACAAGATTTAGCTTCCTTCTCCCATGCACCACTGTTTCTATGGTAGTTCCTTCAACAAAAAAAAAAAATTTAAAAATCAGACTGAAAACAAAAAATAAATATTAAAAAAAAAAAAAAAAAAAAAAAAAAAAAAAAAAAAACCTAATTATGTTATTTATTACGAGTAGCTAATTTTATGATAAGAACTTTAACCAATCAGTGGCCCATTACTTAAATAGCCCAACATCAGTGGTTATGTAAACCATTATTTTGGGCCTATCATTATTCATTTGTTATCCATCATAGTATCATACTATCAATACCTCAAGCAATTATATTATGGACTCGAGATCATGATATGCATCCTGATCATAGATAAGCCTTTAAGTTCAAAAACATTCAAATATCGAGTATTCAATCAAAAAACCAATTAAGTATGTGCTTAAATGCTACTCCATATTGTCAAAATTTTATGTTCATGATTTCTATGTGTTCAGTTTTATAATCCTATAGGGTATGTGTCCGAGAAAGCTCATTAAAATATTTGGGGATGCATAGGGGATATATTTGCTAAGGGGTACAGTTGAGGTTGTGTTCTCTTCATCTTATATTTTTTAGCATGGGATATTAGTTAGTTAAATAGTGTTTAAAGGTTAATTCGTAGTAATATATTATGAAGCAAACAATTTTTATCATAATTTTTAAATGGAAATTTAGGATATAAAATCAATACCCTGAAACTTGGGAACAGCATGTTGGCACCAAATGAGTTCTACACCGTTCGTCTCATCAGTTGCATGCAATGCTGATACTGGTGGGTGGTGAGAAACCTACAAATAAATATAAATAAATAAATAAATACCAAGTATAAATTTAATTATTTTATTCTTTTGAAATGGAGATCCAAATTTTATATAATTTCATCATTTTCATGTCTTATAAATTCATTTGTTATTATTGAAGTTTCAAAAATTGTACATTGACTAAGCATTGACGGATTCAGAAAAAAATAGTGTGGGGTTAAAATAACATTGATCGACTGTAGTAGTAGTTTTGCTTTATATTATGTCATTAAACAACTTCCAACACTCTAATATTAATACGTAGTATAACAAAAAAGTTTAAATAGATATGAATCATACTTGTTCAAGTAGGACGTTTAGTGTGCCTCTAGACGCATGATGAGTCTCACCAAGAATGGGGTTGTAAGGGGCAACCCCGAACATCAACGGACGAATGGTTGAGATGCTCCACGCAACGACGGAGATCATCCGATCAACGGTGGTCTCTCCGTTGGCACATTTGCTTAGCATGTCCTTGTTCACACAATACACTGATTCTCCATAGCATTGTAGGTGTGATTTTGGTAAGTTAAACAATGGAGGTAGCTGCAAAACACACACACACACACATTATACTATAATTATATTGTTTTCGTTTTAAATTTTGGTATTGGGACACTGAATTTTAATTCAATGAAAATATGTTCTAAACTTTGAACATTATTATATCTCTAATTAAAATTCAATCAATAGAACTTCTCATGTTATATGTACATGTTACGGACGTACCTGAAAACGAGTAAGATCAGCTCCAGGTCTAACATTATTGAGTAGACTAAAAACCATTTGAAGAACATTGGGAGGCTTGTAATCATTCTTGGAATTTCCATCTAGGGAGAGTGGATATGTCAAAGTGACCTCCCTCTTGTTCTCATTCTTCACTTCTTGGACCTTTACATACATAATTCAACATGTAGTTATAACCTTGATGCCAAACTTTATGTCTACATAATAAGTTTGATCTTTGACTAACATGCATATAACATACGAAGTATTAAGATATACAATTAAGTTTAATAAATGCACTTTCATACTCTACATAATTTCATTGCAATAAAATTAATTTAAGTTCAGCAAAAATAATTTCAGTCGTATAGTTACATTAGGCATCATATTCATGAAACTTCATTATAGTAATTGTGTTTGGCATATAGTCGTATAGAACCACAAAGTTGTGATGTAGACAAGAGTAGATTTTACTTCAGAATTAAACTTTAGGGTACCACCATTTCGTATTTTACTAATTAAATTAGTTGACATCTACAACTACTCATTCGCTAATGCAAAGGTGGTCCTTTTATCGGGGCCATTTAAAGCCCAAACCCCGGTAAATTATTATAACTAATTAGTTTTAAGCAAGAGATGGAAGATTTAAATCCCGACCCCTCTAATTTTTTTTACAAAGAAAGTGGGCTCGTTTTGGCTAGAAGTTGAGCATCATCAATTCATCACTAGAGTGAGTTTGGAACACTCGGTGGGGTGATTCATTGCGTACATTTGCAGTTGCAACTAAATAATGACACGTTTATGTTGATGAGTGATTTAAAGTAGTTTTTTTTTTTTTTTTTTATAAGAGAGTGATTTAAAGTAGTTGAATGCATGAATGCACTTAACAAAGTTGTGTGAACACAATAAAAGATTACCAAAATAAATTAAAAATGTGACATTATTATACTCAAACGAACTAAAAAGGAATGTAATTTGCATTATTTAGAAATAATCAAATAAAGATAATCACAAAGTTTCATATACGTACGGTGCGGCCAGCTATATATTTTTTTTAAAAAAAAAAAACTTCTTCTCTCTCCTCTTTTCTTCTTCCATCACCATTTTCTACAGCAATACCTTGTCGACGTTCATACTTTCCGGTGACACTCGACCTCTTCGTTGCAACATCTCCTTTTTCCCCCAATTTTATTTCTCTCTCCTCTTTTTTCTTCAAACTTCATTAATGGTGTTATCTTCTTAGCCCATTTCTTCAAACTTCATTAATGGTTTTCTATTGGAGATTTATGTTTTACGAAATTAATGTTGAATTCAAGCTTATTTGCTTAAGATTTTGATTATATAACTTGTAAGTTGTTCAATTTTATTACTTAATTTTTTGTTGAATTGAAGAACGATGAACAAATTGTTTTCGTGGATAGCGGTGGTTTTGTGGGTGGGTAGTGGTGGTTTCGTGGTTCAAGGTTCTAGATCTAGTTTCGTTGGTGATTTAGGTTGGTAGTGGTTCGTTGGTGGTGGTTGTTGGTGGTAGTTTTTTGTTGGTTGTGGGTAAGGGGTTACTAGATCTGGTCAGGGGTTACTAGGTCGGCGGTCAGGGGTTACAAGGGGTTACTAGATCGGTTAGGGGTTACTAGGTCGGTTAGGGTTTACTAGGTCAGGGGTTACGTAATAGGGGTTACTAGGTCGATTAGGGGTTACTAGGTCGGTTAGGGGTTACTAGTTCTGGGGTTACTAGGTCGGTTAGAGCTGAGGTTACTAGTTCAGGGGTTACTAGGTCGGTTAGGGGTTACTAGGTCGGTTAGGGGTTATTAGGGGTTACTAGGTTGGGGGTTACTAGGTCGGTTAGGGGTTACTTGGGGTTACTAGGTCAGGGGTTACTAGATCAGTCAGGGGTTACTAGGTTAGTCAGGAATTACTTGGTGAAAGGTTACTAAGTCAGTCAGGGGTTACTTTTGTCTTGGGGTTACTTTGTCATTTGCTGATTTGGCACCTTGTCGCATGGTGCGGCCAGCCGCACCAGAAACGCACTAAAAGGTAATTAATTACTTATTTGCATATGAAAAAAATTTATCGCATTCATCCAATTAGTTATCATCAATAATATACTCCGTAATACTCCGTATTTTATTTCAGTTATGATTTGAATTTAATATTCATTGTTTTTCCTTTGAAGATATATATACCTTGCAATTTCAACCTAAGCCAATCATAAATCATCGATAATACAGGACTATCACTAATAACTTAATTAGTTTATAAGATTATAATTCTAACAATTCCAAAATAGTTATGCCAATGCCCCTATAAAAATTTAGTACAAACCAATCTTTTTTGTTTTTAAAAAATTTAGATTATAGTCGAAAAAAATCTGCCTAATTTTAAAGTCTATAATCTCTCAAACAAATTCAATAAAATCTCAATAAAACAAATGATATGTAAGAAGTATCACGCTATTACATTACCTACTTTCAAAATTTTAATGTACCATGAATTTCATGATAATGGACGGTTGAATGATTAGTATTTCTATAATAGCTTCTAATATAATGTATTCATATTATTATAAGTGTCTATTATTAAGACATTACAAATTAAAAAATTGAGTTCGAAAAGTACAAACCGCGTTTCTCCTAAAATCAATTTGATCTAAATTATTCTTTCAAATTAATCAAATCAATATGATTGGTTGAAGCTTTCTTAACAAAGTTTCTTTTGACCTCCCTCAAAAATTCAGTTAGCCAACCCTTAAAAAATAATTTTTTATTTTTACGTATCAAGAACACTGTCCTATTCTATTTTATTATATTCGATTTATAAAAAAAGAAAATTAGACGAACAATAATGTGAATGAACATCATTTGGAATGAAATACAATGACTTTAAAGGCGATAGGAATAACTTATTGCACGATCAAAAAAAAAAAATTGAACAACAACCAAGATCATTACCATAAAAATCAAAGGAAACAAAACATAAAAACTTGTAGACTTATATCATATGATATTATACATTAATACATACAAATATATGCGCAAATAATAATTAAAGCAAGAAGTTAGAGAGAGACGTACCATGAGGAAAGATGAACGAGGAAAAACTGGAGAAATCAAGAGTTTTGAGGCGTTAATTAATTAAGGAGGGTGGATTATTATTAATATTAATAAGCAAGATTAATATTTTAATGTAATTTTGTTGGCTTTTTTTGGTAGTGAAAATTATTGGAGGTGGAGTTGTTGCACGAATTGTTGTGTATATATAATAGAGAGAGAAAGAGAGAGGAGATTAGGAGTAATAAGTAGGATTATTTCATTTCCTCAAAAAAAAAAAAAAAAAAAAAAAGGATTATTTCATGTGGATCTTATTTATATTATTGTGTCTAAGCCGTTCTTTAAGGAAATATGTATTTTTAAAATAAATAAATAGATATGTTCACATCACACTTTTTGAAAAGTTATAAAGTTTCTTTAGAAATTATGTGTAAAGATTTTTATGGATGTTCATATTGCAATATTATTTGATATTTCGTGCTAATGTAGTATAAATGGATACTTTATTTGATTTTATTTCCATTTTTTATTGATTGTGAATGATAATTGCTGTATCTTTCTTTTTTGGGTGAATTTTGCTAATTAGATGCTTTTTGAAAAGAAAATAAAATAAAATAAAATTGATTTTAAAAATGAAATTGAATGCTTTTTCTATGGTAAGAAGAGAAGATAAAGAAAATCTCTCAAACAAGTCCCATGATAAGATTTAAATACTAGACCTGGGATATGAGGTAGAGAGCGGTGTCACTATTATATCAACCCTCAACTTCATATGCTTATAATGAAATTGAATATAAGTTGAGTAATTTAACGTTGATTTCTTTAAAATTACAAAACATATAGATGGTTTAGAATGATATACTACGTACTATGTATCTATGTATTTCAATTAAAATAAGTTTTAATCAATTAAAATGATGTCGGAATCTGTGTATGCTCCCCATACTACTCACTGGACCATCATACTGTAAAAAGAATATTGAGGTATTTGTAGGGGCACTAAATCATGGCCAATTCTTTAATTTTACCAAGTACTTGTAGCGTGCTAATGTGCTATCGTAATTGCTTACTAGTTACTTTGATAGTCAACCAACCACCATAGTTTATGCACTTTTCTTGAGAAAAAATCAATCTCTTGGCTCTCTAAGAAGCAACCTATTAGTGTCAAGATCCTCTGCTGAAGCTGAATATCGAATATTCGATTGATCAAGTTTTTGTGTCTAAATTAATAATAGAATAGGACTTTTACGACAAAATGATCTCATTACAGAGTTTTATTTTTATTTTTTCTCAAAGTAATCACATATTACTTCGAAATATTCAATTTGAAAACTTGTTAGTAACACACGCATTGGTAAAAAAATAAAAATTAACGCCGTGACTAGAAATAACTAGCTAATCAATATGTTACATTAATGAAGAGTTTTATAATTATGAATTTGGTGAGAAAACATAAGTTATACGAAGTATTTATTCACTTTCTTGCCTATCCAGGAAGCAACCATGGGTGGAATCCTTACCTGTGACTTGTGAGCTTCCAATGTCCCTACTTTTCTCATTTACTTGTTATATTAAGAGCATAGCATAATGTGAAACAAATCAGAGAGAAAGAGATCAAATAGAATCAATCGCGTCTGTTTAACAAATTTATTCCGAAGCAATTCGAAACTTTTCCGTTCTTTTTAGTTGTTCCACATTGATTTATGATTCTTTTCATATGATCAACTTTGACCAATTTTGGTTATGTACACTATACATAAATATAAACACGGTCATTTTGAACTTGTTAAATTTGTCTCACTCTCAGTTTAATTACTACAGTATTACTAAACTACAAAGTAAACAAACCAAAGAAAAGCTAATGAATGAAACAACTATAAAACTGTTATAAGGGGGTAGTATTAACATGCATGTATACATAAAATTAAAGCCCTGTTTATTATGGAAGCTTTAAATTGTGTTTTAAATACTCAAAATATTCATAATATTACAACTGATCATGTAACTTACAATACTTTTTTTTACCCACTTGCCTTCTCTTTCCCCCCATTTCCACTGCTTCACTAGCTTCTTTACACCGAAAACGACCAGAAGAAGAGGTCAAGCTGAATCTATACTATGATTAACCTAAAGACTAACACAACAGCATATTACAACAAAAATTAGCCACCAAAAAGAAGTAAAAAAAATACTTCACCTAGGAAGAAAACGAGTGAGTTTCCCACCTATAAAACCTCTCCGATATTCATATATAGCATTCTCAAAACACCTTGTCTTCTCGCTTATTACCAAGTCATAAAGAATACCGTAAGTTATAAGTTCACGCTATAATGACAAGCATCCCTAACCTATCGCTTGAAACCCATAGCTACTACTGGAATACTAACCTTGTGCCCTCGGCTTCCTTTTAAGACAACTTGGCCAAAGGTGTAGGATCCAGTCACTGAACGTACAGTCAAAGACACTGAAAATTTCCGAGATGCCCCTGGAAGTAAAGTCATGGCAGGAGGGTTTACCTCAATGGCAATAGATGGTCCCATCCTAGCTGAGATTTTGTATGTTTCTTCCTCAGCAACGTTAGTCACAGTTCTTGTGACAGTTCGGGTCCTGACAAGGTGTGAGATTGCTATTGACGGTGAGTTGAGATTCGATGGATGGCCCATGGTAAAATTACAAGGTGATTTTGTGAAGTTCCTTATTTCATGAGGGTTGATTCCTGGTGTGGTACATAAGAACCCCAAGTAATCTGAATAACCTGTGAATTGACATGAAGATTGACAAGTGATCAATAAAGCGAAGAGTATTAATATCAAGAAATTAGTATGCAAAGTATTAAGCAGAATGAGAAAGCCACTGAGGGGCAAGAGAAACCGAAACCACAAACCAAATGTACAACTTTAGAAAGAATTCACATGAACAATGACAAAAGGCATGCTTTAGAAAGATAACATAAGCACAAACCTGCATCAAAAATTAGTCCTGGATCTAGAGCTGCTCGGGGATCTACATGCCCACTTCCATAATCGAATGGTGTTGCAGGTACCAAGGTCATCTCCTCAGACGATCCAGTGTACTGCTGAGCTTGAAGTGGTACCCCAGCTCTATTGATTGTTGTTGTTGTAGTCATCAAAGCTGACTTAATAGCTGCCGGGCTCCAGGTAGGGTGCTTTTGCTTTATGAGAGCAGCAATGCCAGCAATATGAGGAGCAGCCATACTTGTTCCAGAAATCATTGCAAATGCTTCCCCTGTTACGAGAGTAAAATTAGCGTGTAAACAATTCTCTACCAACCAATATTCCTTAATAGTTTTTGCCTCATAATGACACATGCAGCAACAGAAGAGGTCTTTGTGTTGAGAAATTTTTAGGTATCGGGTTCAATATTTAATGCGCCTTCATTGCTTACTTGTATGTACATATTTGTAGTGGTTTTGTGCCTTACATTCTGGGGAGGGGGAGGTTGAACAACAGTAGCATTATACTTAGTACTGTATATTAAGTTGGTTCTATACTTCAGATTAGAATCAAGAAATTCGGAACCTTGGATGCTTCCAACTTCCATCAGATGAGAAAATTAACCCTTAACTGAACTTGTCATAAAATTGACAGTCATACCTGCATAGTTGGGTTCGTCAGTACCGCTTGGAGACCAAGCTCCCCATATGAGAGCTCCAGGAGCCAAAATGTCAGGCTTCAAAAGATCTGCATCTCGGAAGCTGTAGTCTTTTATGTTGGGACCCCTTGCAGAAAATAATGCCACCTGTGGGGCCGATTTGTGAAGAGTAGCCTTTAACCCATTTCCAATATGACCTTTTGCTTCAAAGCTCTTTACTCGTCCGGTCCAATCCCGTGGAGTAGAGACATTATAATAATCTATGAGATCCTGAACAACAGAGGTTCAGAAATTAGAATGCATTGCATTAACATCTTGTAGACTTTGGAAGTCAAAATACCACAGCTTGCAGAAACGAAAGACTATTGTAATTTGTAATGCATAATTGTACAAGTATTAGATGATAATGTCATTAGGGAATAATTGCCACATCTAGCACAAGAATTCAACTAGAAAGTGTCAACAAGTTTTCTAGTAAAAAAAAAAAAAAGAAGAAGAATATTCTTGCCTTTATATTGTTATTAAAACAAAAGAAAACAATTTATACCCAAAAAGTTTACTAGGATTTTTGTAAAAATATCCACCATCCAATAGCCAAATGAAATTAGTATAATTGTCTAAATCGACTAAATGCCATTTCTACTAAAGACTCGTTCACATAATGGATGGAAAAAAATCTCAGGAAGGTTACCAGAGACTTGCTGACGTCAGTCACAACAATGCCAGGTATACTGCTAGGGACAGGATCAAACTTTGTCCCAGGAGTAACGCTTTCCACAGCAAGTACAAAACCAGCAGCACCAAGGCTCTTGGCTGTCTCAGAAACTCTCTTGATTGATGCACTACCAACAACAAAATTGAAAGAATAGCCACAAAGTAGAATTTTTCCCTCCACCAATTTTCTGTTCAGAACTTCAGGCCTCTGACAATCTGAAGGACTGAATCTTGTAACAGATGTATCTAGCAATGCATCATTTGCCGAAACAAGGGTGTAAGATCTGTTGAAATGAGTGGCAGCTGCAAGGGGAGAAAAATACTTGCATCAGATTGACATGAGTACAGACTTCAGATCAAGGAGAAGGAAAAAAAAACATGGTATATAGAGAATTTATACATCTTAATAAAATCCATTTTGCATCATCACATGCATCTATATCTTACTCTCTCCATTTTACACTCACAAATAAATTTTGTCTAGGTGTCCGTGTCAAGGCCTTTGTTGCACATAATATGAAACGGAAGTAGTATATAAAAGGAAGGGTAGGCATAAAACTTACGTGAAAGTCCTATTCCAGCCAGAACTTTTCCATTTCCCAAGAAAAAGTGATTTTTATATCTTCGATCATCAATTGCAGCTGCAACAGATGTTATCCATGGACTGTAAGACAAAACAGTCTTAGGAAAAGGACCCCCATTTCCAGCTGCCTGAGCAACAAAGATGCCTGCCTTAACAGCTGAAAGAAGAGCAGCATCAAAAGGATTTAGAAAGGTTGTTTTTGTTGCTGCTGGCGGACTATTTGGCCCAACTGAAAGATTTATGATATCAACACCATCTTGAACAGCCTGTGAGATATCAAATGTGAGTTCAAGAATAATAATTAAAAACAAAATCTATTACATAGCTTTAAGTAATGAGTTTAAAGACATCTTGAAGCAGCCAACAGAATCAATTCAACCTCCAGACATTTTTTTTTTGTGTGTGTGAAAAGAACAGATCACCAGTAACTAATATTTGCTCCTATTCTTCCTCTATCAACAACACATAAAAGGAGCACCCCCTAAACATGTAAAAAAATCTATACTTCCTCTATTATTTTATAATTGCAAAATGTAAGGGACAAAATATTTTAGGAACCCATGTGATGAGAAGAGGGATTGAGATAAATAACTAGAGGGACTGGAGGACATTTGTGATGAGGATGAGATAGTGAGAAATCATGAGTAAATAAAGAATCATGGCAATAGTTATGAAACTTTTAAAAGGGACATGTTGCATTTTTTAAAGAATGGATGAAGTACTATGTATTAAGGTTCCATTCTCCTTGTTATTTTAAAAAAAAAAAAAAAAACGGCGAACTTGGCTTATTTTTGCTGAACTTTTGCTCTACCCAGACTCATTGCTTTACTTATTTTTGTTGAAACTTATTTTGACAAATAAAGGAGAACAGAGCCTTGGTGTCCTGGACAGTACATTTATACTATCTAATTTTAACAAACACACAAGCACATGCCCCTCATTTGATACTGCAGAAGTCTCATCGAACTTCATCCAAAACCCAGGGAGGAATTATAAACACTCAAACTGAAAGACTCTGGCATACCCACAATATTGACTGTGTATGTGCAAAACCAATTCTATATCAGCAAAATGTTCAAAAATAATGTTATTTACATGGTCGATTGCAGCCATCACATCTGCAACAAATCCTCCAAAAAGTGGGTAAAGCGCCTTGTAAACAGCAATTCTGCAGCAATATAGAAAATGTTATGTTCCTCAATTCCAGTAGAATGTAACAGCCAGCCATAAGCAGAAAGGTCTGATTCTTACCTGGCACGAGGAGCCATGCCACTTGCTTTTCCAAATTCATATCTATGCATTCTGACAGGAACACCATTGTTTCCAGCAGCAATAGAAGCTGTGTGGCTGCATGAATATAGAGTTCACAGACATAAATTCTATCAAAACCAATTTCCAAATTGAATTTAATGGACAATAGAAAGGCAATTAAACAAAAGATGCAATCTCCTTAAATCTGCAGAATTAATATATAAGAAAATATGTAAACAACTCTGATATACAGCAACTTTCAATAATTTTAAATGTTCTGATGACTAACATCTTGTTTGATTTTTAAAGGTGCTTAAAATAGAAATGAAGGAATGAGGGAGGATTGTTTGATTTGAATGGTAGAAATAGAAACAATTGCTTAGTTCGGTTTACTATTAACTGATGAAGGTCTTTACAGAAAATGGAGAGAAGATTAAGATTTTCACATTCTTTTCAAGCTTCAACCAAAATCTGCTGTTTTGGAAGGAAAGAAAAGTAAAAAAAAATTACAGATGAATTTCTTGTCACCTCCTTCCCTTTAATACCAATTCATGTATAAACAATATAACTAAACTCTGCAAAGGTATACATTTCATGTGTTTTCCTTATCTTTATTTCCCATCCGATTACTTTGAATCAAAATAAGCTAGCAATAAGGAGCCCAATTAAGTATATGGTTCTGACCTTCCATGTCCATCACCATCAAGAGGAGAAGCATGATCAACAGAAGGATTGAATGCTCCAGCTGCTATTGCAGCTTTTGCAAAATGCTGAGCACCAATAATCTTGCCATTACAGAAACTCTTCTTTGTAGCAGGATCAACTTCACATTTCCCTGTATACTTAGGAACAGGTCCATACCGTTCTGAATCATGTGCTGCAAAGCTTGGATGTGAAGGAAATATTCCTGAGTCCACAAATCCGATTACAATGTCTTCTCCTGCCTTGTCGTGGCCACCTCCAGTTGGCCATACCTCAGTTGGGAGTCCCAGAAACTCTGGTGTATGTGTTGTAAGCCTCTTCACCTTCCAATCTCTTTCTACTGATTTCACACCAGGGGCTCTTCTAAGGATTTCTACCTACTAAAAGTTGTGGTTGCATAAGTAAGAAGAAACAAACATGAACTAGCATCAAAATCCTCCATATTAAACAAAACATAAAGTTTCACCTGCTCAGGTGATGTATGAACTGCAAAACCATTAATAAGGTGCCGATAGCTGTATAATTTGGTGTAAGTACCACCTTTGAACAGCAACCCAAGAAGCATATCATGTCTTTTTTCTAAGTGGCGAGCATATGATATGACAGCCTCACTGAAATAAACCCAAGAAACAAAAAATGCAAGTAAACCTTCAATGTTGTGACCTATATAGTGTATAAAATTATTAAACTAAGAATATAATGGCATAATCAACGTTCATGATTGACAGCAAGAAAGTCATTTAACATTACTGAGAACATTTTTTCATAAGTGTCAATTCAATCAATCAAAGCCTTAATCCCATAAGTGGATAAGTGTCAATTGACTGAGCAAAAATATGTATTCATCACTTCATTATCTCCATGATCTCCATGACCTGAGTCTTTTTGCCAACCAAAAGCACTTGGTATGCTGCCAGAAACTCAACATGATTGCCTATGTTGACCTAACACGTCCCTCCAGCATGTCAGTAAAAACCTGTTGCTATTAAGTTTAACATCCCACCCCACCCCACCCCACCCCCCCACCCCCCCGGGTATCACACATGTACTGCACCTGGTTACAATCAACCTAAACCTTAAGATTATAATGTGTACTTCCTCTCTTAAATTAGCCTCAGTAGTCAATATCTAAGCTTGTAATAGAACTATAGAAGATAGATGGTGAGTGAATGAAGCTCAAGCCTAGATGCTTGGAGAGAGATATTTGTCCAAGGTTTATGTGTCTTCTTTTGGTTTTGTTTAGTTTAATTCTTCACTAAAAGAATCCATCTTTAAATGGCTTCCTAAATCTCACTCAAATTCCCCAAAAAAACTCATTTTCGAGGTGACCTAGTAATTATTAGAAATCCTTCAACATTGGATCGTTGGGCCTCACCGAGGAACATGTCCTTCGTTGTACTCTAATATACTTATTACTTCAAAATACCAAAGCAGTATAATTGGTCTAATTACAATACTAATATAATCACCACCAATCCATCATGTGTATTCACTAAAAGCTTCATTTAATCTGAAGTGTACTAGATGACATTTTAGGAGATTTGGCACATTTCAGCCAATAGTACAAGAGAAAATTCTCTAACAAACAGGCAAATACAATCATACAATGGACAAACACCCTAGCTTTATGCCTTCACCATAGGTCAAGATAACATAACATACATTTTCATAAACCTTAAACCTACAGGCTACATCATAGCAATTGACAAATTCACCAGAATCAAATGAGCAAATTTACCTAGTAACATCAATCTTCTCATCAGTCTCAGAAGCAGTGGCTTCGAAACCGTTCACGCCTCCTCGGTAACTCACTACAGGATCTTCCTCAAGTGTCACTATGTAAATCTCTGCCTTTAGGAAAGCAAAATGGGCAATCAACACTACCACTAAAAATCCAATTGAAATGCCCTTCATTTTCACAGTAGCCATCAAAGTTGATCAGCAGCACATCCCCTTTATCTATTCAAGAAATCACTCAAATCTTAGTACACAACACTGAAAGAGTATTAAAGTAACACTCAACTTGAAACTTATACCTTACATAAACATAAACAAATTTAATGGCAAGATAAAATTATTCATTTATCAACTAAAAAATTAGTAAGATATAATTACATCAATCATACACTTACACAGATTCTGACAATCAGATTTTACACAAGATCTAGATAATTAAGTCTACAAAATTTACACTCAAAGAATTAAACAAATTAAAATTAAAAAAAAAGTGGGTATTACAAAAAGGGAAAGTTGCCTGCTTTCTTTTCTTTGTAAGTTTATAAAATGCAGCCCAATGTAACACACACATTCAAGAAAGGAATCCAAAACACCCTTCACATCCACATTCACATTCGGGTTGAGGATTAAATCCCGTGTACATCATTGTCCTTTTACGACTCTAGAAAAATTATACATTCACAATCAACAGTACTCCACTAAAACCACAAGCAAACCCCACAAAAATGTAGATAAAACAAGTACAGGAGATAGAAAAAGATAAGATCTTTTTACTCACATTAATCCAAAGAAAGGAATCAGACCCAGAAATTGCAAAAAATGGAATAATTAGATAAAAACTAAATGTACCCAGTTGTTATTTATGTTGGTAGATAAAAACCCAGAAATTTGGTGATACTATTGGTTGAAAGAAGGCAGAATGATTCAGTGGAGGTGAGTGGAAGTAAGAGTGAGTGAGAGTGAATGAAGTAAGAGAGAGGGAGAGAAAGATGGTAGTTAGGGTTTTTAATTATAGACTTTAAAGATAGGAGTAATTAAAAAAACGCGCCAGACAGAAAAATCGAACATGGAGGGGTCTCCTTTTTGTGTTTATTTTTGTTGTTGCGATTGTTAGAGTCATTACTCGTAATCGACACCCGAGTGTAGATGAAAATTAGTCATTAGTCAAATATTAATTTTTGAATTACTTTTATTTACGTAATGAACTTCGCTTTGGTAGGAAAAAAAAAATTTATTAGTATCAATTGACCGATGACTAATACGCAGTAATTAAGTATTAAACTATTAACACATTATGTCATATATACATGCTCTAGTATAATGTGAGTAATTTAATATAAAATCTTGCAAATAGGTATGATAGAGTTTTTGCTCATGTTTTCTAAATCATAAATTTAGCCATTGTTTTTGCAGCAAATTATTCATTGTATCACAAAGTATTAAGGATGATGCCTCCCATCTATGTGTAGACAATATGTGAATGTGAGAGAAGTGCATATTGTGTTGTCTGTGTATTCACTCGTTTGCGCATGATATGCACACATCCGTTCATGTTGTCAGGCATCGTCCTTTGTATAGTATTTGCTTCAATTCTTGTTGTATATACATTACTACTCATAACATGTTGTTACTTTATTCCATTCATCAAATTATTTACAAGTCACCTTAGTTAATTTCTTTGGACCTAAAGTTAACAAATTTAAATGTTAAATTGCATTACCAACATAACATTATAGTCCTTTGACATTTCATTGTTTATCAAATCCTATCATCATTTTGTGTTACTGACAAGATGGATAAGTAAACTTTCTTTGAATTATTTGGGAAAATTTGTCAATTATAACCATTTAGAGTATGTATTTTGTAAATTGCAGTCATTTTTAAAAAAAAAAATTGCAAATTACAGACCAAAAGTATTAATAACTTGTTAATTATCACCCAAATCAATTTTTTCCTACATTTGCATGTTGAAAAATGTTTCATAAAGATTATATGGGGTCATTTAAGGGCTTAAGGAACCGAATTGTGCTTAGAATTGACAAAAAATAACGTAAGTGTCTCGTTTTTGCATATAAAAAATATATTGATTTGTGTGTAACTATTTTTTTGCCATAAAACGAGGCACTTACATTATTATTTTTGTCTACATATTCCGAGCTTAATTTGAATCCTTAAAAGTTAAAAACTAATGTGACCCCTAAAACCTTGATAAAACATTTTTTGACACAAACAATTTATTAGTACTTTTGGGCTGTAATTTATAATTTTCTTCAAATGAATGCAATTTGTATAATTTAAGCATCAACTGTTGCAATTGGCAAATTTTCCCATTGTTTGTATAATTTTTGTAAAAATGACGTGGTTTTAAACTTTTATTTGAACTACTAGAGGATTACAGGGATTGGAACAAAATTTAATCATACATGATGAATCCAACTCACTCCTCAATAAACCATGTAGATGCTGTGGTGGGGCAATGTTGGTATAATCTAGGCAATCAAATTTTACTAGTTGTATGTATGAAAATTATGTAGCTATAATATGAGCAAATCGGGCGAGAGGAGAAAAAATGATGAAATTGGACCATTTTTCCAGCTTTGACAGCTATCACCATGATCATATATAGAAACAAACTATACAAGTACTTTTTATCAATTTTATGCAATGATTTATTGATGACCAAAAATGTAAGTGATTGAATTTTTCTTTTTACCTTAATTGATGAACTATGCAATATCACATTAAATCAAATCAAAACAATAAAGATTAAGTTAGATTAGAACAACTTAGCTAGCTTGTGCCTGTGTTTTATATCAGATCAAAGAATCAACTCATCTAAAAGTTTAAGATAATAACTTAAGCCTGTGATTGGTTTTATCTCACTCAATCACGTCTCACATAAAATTGTTAAGTGTGAATGTAGCATGGACCATTAGACCCCACAAATAATGTAGATTTAATATGTTAGAGGTTCAACTCAACCAAAAGATTAAGTTGATGGTTGAGATCACTCAAAACATGTTTATACTTTAATTTATTACACCACTTCACATGTTGGGTTTGAAATGTGTATGCAGCACGAGCTCTCCTCATACCCAACGCTTAATTTTCCACTTGAAAGAGAGGAGTGGATGAGATCCGAATCCGTGGCCTTTAAAGCCATATTAAAGGATCAACTCAACAAAAAACTTAAACTAATGGTTGTTTGATGTTTAGGTATATGTTCATACTCCATTAAAAAAAAAGGTATATGTTCATACTCGATCGCCCTCAATACTTTAACCAATTAAATTAGTTGATCATTTATAAAGAATACATAACTACATACTTACACGTTAAGAAAAATCGTACTCCAACAGTCCAACACAAAACAACTCATGATTAGTTCTACAGCTTCTACTCATAGTATTTTCTAGGATCGGGCTAACACTAATCAAGATAATCTATGAAAAGCTAAAAGAATTCACCAGCTTTTCAGTTAAAAATCAATAATTATAGGTAGCTAAGAAAAAGGAATAAAAAGCAATTCAAACAATGGCCCCCATCCTTTTTATAGTCCTAAGTATAATTAAGAAACATTATAATTAAAATTTTGGTAAGGTAATTGATATAATAATCAATTATATATATTCACAGCTGAACTTTCATGAGAATGTTTGCCAAAAAGTGAAGAAGAAACGCGTTAAAATCACTAATGTTGGGTTAAAGTCAAAAAGAAGTAAAGATTGTGATTGAATTTTTGCATGAAATTTGGACGCATGCATCATAAATTCACAATCTTTTGGTGTTAATAGTTGTTTCTTTTGAAAGTTAGCACATGGCCATTGTTACACTTACATAGTGTTTGACATTAACTTTTTAATTTGTGGAGCATACTATATATGACCATAATATATAATTCTATATATAGTATATTTATGTGGTGTGTTGTTTTGGTTGATGACAATAAGCAAGGGGAGAATTTAGAAAAATTGAGGGAGGATAGGATGTATTCGCTAATTGAAGGATAGCTTTATGCGGTATCTGATTATATATAGTTATTGTGTGGAACAGGTCGGGTTGTAAGAAGGCTGATATTTTAGGGGTCATAATGAATTAGGGTTAAGCAAGTTAAGGCTAATAGTGGATCGTTAATGAACTAGTCATTATATGACTCTAGAGAAAATGAAAAAGTGAGAGACGAAAAATTATCCACATATCTAAGAATATGGGTCAATAAGGAACGGAGGCAGCATGTAATATGCCCATAGTCATAGTACGGTCATGAACTCATGGTTAAAGCGTGATTGATTATCATGCTAGTAAGACATCTCGTACACCACCATTTCACTAATGACTACGAAATAAGACTGTTTTCAATTTTTTTGGGTAAAATTAGGGAGCTTTGGATTCGGTTAATAATATGTAGGAGGCCCATATTAATAGAGGTTTGGATAAACTATACGACTCAATACTTGCTTGATTGGCTCAAATAATTTTTAACTTATATATACCTCCAAATCAAATGGGGTCAGGAGGATCTATTTTTTCCTAATAAATACAATAATTATAACCGCCTAAAATGATAATATTCTAAAAAAAAAATAACACCATTAGAATCAAAGTTCACAGACCATGATATTCGTATGATGTAGAAGGTCACGTGAAGTTGCATAAATAAATTAAAAAGGACAATACGACGGTTGAATGTTGATATAATGATATATGTTCATTTATATTTGGAATTTGACCCTATTTTTCTTTGGATTGGCCCCTCTAAATTATTAAACAAATTCTATTACCATTTTTTTAAAAAAAAATTCTCTTGAGGGCGCAACACAAGTCTACCTAGAATAGATACAAATACAACAATGTGAGTAATATAATTATGTGAGACGATTATAGTATGCAACTTATATTATATAAGGGTGAACTTTATGATTTATTTTGAGTAATTAACTTTAGTAAGGATAGCTCAAGTGGAAATGGTTAGAACTCCCATTCTGGTTTAAAGAGATCTTGAGATAGATTCTCATCAATCTGACTCTCTAAACACCAAAAATTAAAAATAAAATTAAAAAACTAACTTTAGTCTAAATACTTCACAGACTATGGTATGGCTTAAATTACATAGTCATTCAAGACTAAATATGAGTAGGTCGATCCAATTAATTAGAATAATTAATGCTTAACATAGAAATTTATTTTTATTTTTTTAAATAATGTAACTACTCCGTATGATATAAAGATACAATTTAATTATCATTTTTATCAACTACAAATTAATCAATACTCCTTATTGATTATCAACTTCAACATTTAATTATTAGTAGCCATTACAACAACTAATTTTTCCGAATTGCATGACAAATCTAACTAAATGATCAACCTACGTATGTACATTATATGATCAATCACATAATCCATATAAAATTTCCTCCCTAGCTAGTCCTTATCATCTAAATCATATGTGTGTAATTGTGTATTCACATAAATAAACCAACAATTTACTAATAGTTATAGTAATTAAGGTCAGATTGGACAAATTAAATTTAAGGTGTCACATTCAAGAGTGAAAAGGCATTGCATGTGAGTGGTGCTCCCACTTAACTCGTCCTTATGCTTGACAATAACATGTGATAGCACTATACAATATACATGCATCCAAATTTCCATCAAATGAATCCCATTTATTTCTGGTAAAACGTGAGAATTACACTCTTACAAACATGACTTTTATGTAACTTATACACCACCTCAAACTCATGTTCAGTCCGTGCATTTCTTCGTTTTTAGGTCATATATTATGTACGAGGAGCATATTTTGAGCAGAATTACAGATGCTATTCTTAGTAATCAAACTTTCACCAATTAAATTATGTGATGTTAAACCAATTGGGTTTGGATTTATGGATATTAGCTTAGGCTCGTTTTCAATAAAGCAATCATCCTACTCCTTCCGTTACCAATAGAGTCTCATTTGTCTTTGTTTAAGTACAAGTTTTAGAAAGGTAAATAGAAACCATAAAATAGTGAAATTTGAAATTTGATCAATTAAAGGTTAGTATGTTAATAAAGATAGTGGAGTTTTGCTGAGTATAACTGATTAAAGAAA